ATTTTTGAAAGCCTGACAACTTTGCTTTTTATATTCTGCTGCCATACATTGGAGCTTTTATTAACTAGGTTACGCGATAGTTTAGAAATATCTTTGATGAACTAAATGAAATCAAAACTTTTTCTGTCAGAATAGCTTCTACAATAAAACAGCAAAACAATTGTAAAGCGTGCTCACAAATAAATTTTTCAAAACATAGTGGTTATCACTATATTTTAATATTTAAAATAATGTTTGTTATATTTATCTTAATATTTAATCCGAGATCAAAAATGATAAAAAAAGGAGGTTGTTAAGGTTTCCTTTTTACGAGACTCTACTTTTGCAGGGACTCCGTTTTTTGATACCAAAATAAAAATACATTAATTTTTTATTCATTAATTTGCATTAATGAAGTTTTCAAGCTTTTTATTTATTTTGATTTTGAGGAAACGAAAGTGAAACTTCTTGTACAAAATTAATACAAATATAATGTCACCAAGGAAATTTTGCTAAATATTTCTAAATCAAAGGAGCCTCACAAAAGCAATATTTTGAGATTAAAACCTTTAAGAATAACACTGAACCCTTTAAGAATAACACTGAATAAAAGAGCCAATTGCGCACACTGACTATAATTTTTATTATTATATAAAGTGAAACTGCCTGCCACATTAATTTAACAAAGATAATAAAAACAGTTGTAGAAGCCACGAAGAGTTTTTATCAGTATGTGAATGTATAACACAATATGGTTCTGGTTTGATCGTGAAATAAAATTTTCTATTATTTTTCATTTCCTCTATAATACAGTAGCGTAGCGAGAACTTTTTAGTATTTTAGAAAGATTACTTTTAGACATGGAGCAAACTTTAAGCATTTTTATGTTTATACATACGTCAAATAAGGATGGTTTGCAAAAAAATTGCGATGATTGGAGCCTGGGAACAAAAAAACCCAAAACTTTTGCGTCCCCTGCCCTAAACATAATTTTTGAACGCTAAGAGATTATGCTATAAAACTTGAAATTTATCCATGAATACAAGTCTAGTTAAGAATAGTAAAAAAATTATGACTTTATAAATTTTTGAACGCTAAGAGATTATGCTATAAAACTTAAAATTTATCCATGAATATAAGTCTAGTTAAGAATAGTAAAAAAATATTTTATCAACTTGTTGTTCTCACGTTTAGGGCGGGGGGCGCGAAAATTTCGGGCTTTTTTTTTACCAGACTCCAATCATCGCAATTTTTTTGCAAACTTTCCTTATTTGACGTAAGTATAAACATATAAATGTTCGAAGTTTGCTCCATGTCTGGAAGTTATCTCAAACACCAAAAATATACACATGTATCACAATTGTATATTTACACATACACATGTATCACAATTGTATATTTATTTTTTTTTGTTTGTTTTTTATTTTTGTTATATTATTTGTGGTTATTAAATAATAATTAAATTAAATTATTAAATAATAACGATTAAAAAGTTTATTAATTAGAAAAGTGTCAAATAAAAAATAAGTCCAGGTATGTTTCATATTCATATACGTATAATTACGTATAGGGTACTTGATAACTGGGCTTCAAACTTTAGCGGCAACGAACTCCCTGATCCCTAAGGCCAGCTCTGTTTGATATTTTTAAAGCATGTTTTGTTAGTGTCATTGAAATAGGAACTTTTTTTGCATTTAAAATAATTTTTGTGTGAAAAATTTAAATGCTTCATTGGAAAAATTGCAATTTATTTAGCGCTAGTACTTATTAAAATGATATTTTTGAAGAAAATAAATGGCGAGATTTTCGACAGCTTTCCAAATATCACGCTAGCTAAATCCATTTTATTAAAAAGTTGTCTAGATTTTTTGCGGTGGTTCATATTTATCTTCTTCAGAATATTTTAACCAACACTAAAAAATTATTTTTAAAGAAGTAAGAAACTTAATAAAACAACACTACTTAAGGAAAAATATCTCACTTAAATTTATAATTGCAATAAACAAACGCTCATAAGTTTACTATTAAAATTACTTCACTATTAAAATTAAATTCTTTACTACTGCATTATATTTAAGGTTTTGCTTTTTAATGTTTCGAAACCACAAAAATCCATAAAACAATAAAACCGAAACATCTATTTGAATTGCATCGAAACTGCAAAAACAAAACGAGCAAGTTATGACTAATAACGATTGCCGATTTGCCGTTTAAAAATGATGATACAATCGCAAATACAAAGTGATAAAAAAATATTTTCAAAATTAAAGAAAAAAGAAAGAAAAATAAGCAGTAAAGATTTAATAATCAGGGTAGAAAACACCGCCCTGACCCTGACCTTGCCCCCATCCCCCGCCCCCCATCATCCCACCCACACACTTTTTTTTCTAAAGACCTTAATTTTTCTTCCAAAAAATTATAGATATAGAGAGCTTTTTTTAGAAATTTACGATTGTGCCTCTCCACTTCGAAACCCGTATCGTCGGTCCTGATGATGTCAAACATTAAAGTCATAAAATAAAAAGTGTTGTATATTTTGATTACATCAGGTCTTGTATATTTTTATTATACTTAAACCTATATTTATTTAATAGTATTTTTGATTTATAAATCTCTTTTTAAAAGCTATTTACAAGATTCTATATGAAAATATTAAGTTCTGTTTGAAAACTAGTATCAAGATTCTATAGAAAAATATATACGAATATCTGACTTTTCTGTTATAGCCACGTTGCATTTTACTCAGTAGTTTCACCACTATAAATAAAAGCACCAATTGCTGAAGAACTTGCATCACCTAAATTTTTTTTTCACCACAATGCTTTACTACAAACTGGTTCTTAACTTTCCATCTCATCATCAATGTTTCGAAGTACACATTTCACATTCTCAATACAAACTTCATACCCAACTTTTTTTCAAGCTAATGACCCTTTTTTTTTTTGGTAGACTACAAACTATACGTAATAAATATAAACGGTTTTTTTTTTTGGGGGGGGGGCATGAGGGTAGAAGCCCCTCCTAGGGACTTTTTTATTAAATAGAAATATTCTATTTTGTAAATTGACTATTATACAGAATTGGACTATTATACTGACGATTGAAATTTCATATTTGTAAACGTAATAATCAATTTCATACGTGTATGAACTTGATTATTACGTTAAAGTGTATAACAAATAAAAGTTACTTATGAATGAAAATATGCGAACCTTTTTTTTTTTTTTTTTAGACCTTTTAGTCCTCTACTTTGCGAGTGACAAAACTCGCCCCTGTAAATAACCTAAAAATTGTTCCCCAATGAAAATACTACTCCTGATAATTTAATAATAAACTCAGAAAGATCTTTAAACGAATACTAACGATACAAACTTCATACCCAACTCTTACTAATGATAACTAATGATAACTTATATTTAGTTACAACACTCAAAAGTTAACATTAAAATCATACAGAAGTATTAACGTTTATTATTAATTAAATAACTATTTAAACCGCAAACTACTAAATTGTCACGAGATTTCCAGAATAGAATTTAACTTTTCAAAATTATACAACCTGTAATCAGAGAATTTTTGAGAAATGCACATCTTTGCAACCTCGTTGCAAAGACACTTCTCTTTTTTAAAGTCTATTTTCAGCTTTGATTTTGTACTTCAAAAACAACATTAATTTTATTTTGATGTGATACAGAGTGCGACAGAAATAACCTCTTTATCTCATTTAGGGGCTTAAAGGAGGAGGAGAGAGGGGATTGAAAATAACGATGAATCATAACATTTTATTTTTTAAATGATTTTGAAAAAATTTGAAAAAGTTTGAAATTGTTGAAAAACATTTTTAAAAGTATGAAACTATTCAACATGTTTGAAACTTATGACAGCATTCTTTCACAGCAAAAATTTACTCCAAGGCTATGTGGTCTTGTTGGCTGATAAACGAATTACCATATTGAGAAAATATTTCAAATTTTTTTCTTTGATTGGTTGTAGTATTCAGGAGGAGCAGAGTGCAGGCTCTGTTGCTTTTTCCAGTGGGACGTAAAAAAACGTCTTTAACAGGTTCTATTGAGCGTTTTGGACGTCTTTTGAACGTTTTGGACAACTTTTAAACGTTCAAAAAACGTCTTTCTTAGGTCTTTTGCTTACTAAGTTGATTCTTTTTGAACAAAAACAAAAATGATTTTTGGTATGAAATACTTTCACTTGCACGAAACCTTGCATAGAGACCAACAACAATTTAAAACATTGGTGTTTGATTGTGATTTACCACCTAATGGACTCATTTCTTTGGTTCCTTCAAGATCTGGTGTTAAGGTAGATTGAGTTAAAAGCTCTCAACTAAAACCCAAAAGTAATACAATAGAATCTAATATATTAGAAAGTATAAACTATTGAGTATTACAAACCAAACAAATGAATTTAAACTGACCTGTAACAACACCTAAACTGAAAGTTTTACATAAACCTCTATACTACTCGATAGACAATTTTTTGTTAATTTGTTGGCTGATTTCTAACTTTCTTTTTTAGCATTTTGGTTTTTGTTTTTTATTTTTAAAGTAAAACTACAATATTTAAAATTTTTTTTAAAGGTGTAATAGTAAAACTATAGTATTTAAAATTTATTTTATAATTGTTTAAATTGATATTATTTATTTTGTAAAGCCAATCACCGGAGTAATCCTTGTTATGATTATTGAGACTAAAATGTGAATTGAACTTGCTATCATACATACCTTTTTATATATACACTTACTAATTTGGTCATACTTTTTAAAAATAAAGTAAAATAAAAAATTGCAAATGATTTTTCGTTACGTAACTATACTACCTTATTAGTATTTTTGATACGTAATTTAGTTTTGCAGCTGCATTATCTTCACGAAACCTCTAAGCATGGAATAAAGGTTTCGCTCAATATTGCATATTTTATAAAGTAACATAATTTAATAAATCAGTTTTTGTTTCGGATTTTACTAAATCTATTTAAATTAAAATGAACTTCTAATTTCGCAAGTTTGCAAACCAGCCGATTAGCAGCTATAAAAAAAAGTATATTAAAAGCAATTAGTATAAATAAATAAAAAATTAAGTTATATATAATATATTCATTACAATTTTCATTTATAATGCTGATGCAAATTATAATTTCCATGATGCTGGTGGGTTTCTTATTAGTTTTACATTTAACACTTTTCTAATTTATTATAAATTTAATCGAACTTAAATGAATATAATCTATTTAAGAAAACACAAAACGTTTTTTAGACGTCTAAACAACGTATTAAACTTGGACATTTAAAAAACCTATTAGAAGGTTTTTAGACGCGTTAAACACGTCTTGGGTTTACTGGGATATTTATTGTAGACTTAAGATAGAAGAAAAAAAATTTAATTAAAATAAGAAAGATTTATCAAAATAAGAAAGTATTTAAAATAATAGTAATGAGTAAATTTGTTTGTTAATAATATACTTTTTAAAACTCTATATTTATTTTCATTTTTAGATGACGACGTTTGAAACGACCCCGCTTAATTATCCACCATGCCCCGTTAGTGAACAAGTCGATCCTTTGCAAGTCTTAAAAATATTACAGGATAAATATTACATCATATCATATTCAAATCAAGACAATGTTTCTAAGAAAATCAGAAATAACAAAGCTCACAATAATTTCTTCTGGCATACATTTAAAAATAGAAAACCGTTTTGCAAAACAGTGTCTATAGAAATTCCTGATCTTATTGACAAGGTTACTATTCCAAATAAAATCATGGAAGTGACACTTGTGAACGAATTGGGTAAACTATTCTGTAAACAAGTAAAAAAAGAAATTGTATATTTAGAGGAAGAAAAATATTGCAACAATCATATAAACGCACGCATGTACGTTATAAAACGCAGAGAAATTGTAGTAGCGTACGAATACATGACTTAACAAAAACAATGGTTGTCGGTGCAGTATACTTCAAGAACAGTTATTTTTGCTTTATTTTTTTAATATAAATACAAATATCAATGATTTTTTCCAACAATATGTTGGCGATGACGATAATGTTGTTTTAAAAGGTTTCATTTGTCAAGGAATCTACATAACTTATTATTTATAGAGACGTTGAAAAGAAAAAAAAAAGGTTTAATAGCTAATAAAGTAGCTTTTTTATTTATCAACATTTTTTTGTATAATATTTATATCTTTTTTGTAAATTATTTTTCAATTTTAGTATTTATAACAGCAAACTTTTATACAGCTATTTATCAGATTTTTAAAACATATTTATTTTACGCTATATATGCATTTATTTTTTACATACAAACTTCAGGCGTTCGTGCGAATAATAATTTGCTTTAAGGGGAAGACAAATATTGTAAAAACCTAAAACGACTAAAAAAATTCAAGATAATAAGGTTTTTTTTAACTCTGCAAAGGTCGCTTATATTTATAACATGAGATGTCTTAAAGAATGTGATTAAAGATTATGTATTTATCACTTTAGCAAGTTTTAAACTCTTAACTGAAGCCGCCGTAACGCAGTCTTTCTATGGGCGGAGTATTTACAGTCCAAACTCATTATTAAGAGGTTTGAGATCCTATGCTTTTGCCTGATAACGGAGGTAACGAAGGAGGCTTGTAACGAAGTAGGCGTAAACTTCCTTGTTAAATGCTCTTTTGCGATATTCTGTAATAAAACCGAAAGGACTTCTGAGAGCACCTATATAACTTATAAACAAAGAAAGTTTTCCCGAAGTGTTCAGCTTTCCGGAAGATGCGCAATTTACTGCAGAGTATGGTCTAGAATAATTAGATGACCATAAACTGCCACATATACCCTCAGTCTCATTCATCTGAATCTTATATAGATAGCTTTATTTTTTCGGCAAACTAATCATTAAATGTTGGAAAGATGTCTGCATTATGCAGTAAGAAAATATTTATTATTGTTTGACATTAGTCATCTGATAAATCACATTGCACCTTAAGACTGAGAGCATACTTGAGATCTAATGTACTCATTTTTATGGTTTTTGCAGGATTTATTGAGTAAACTTCATTATACTGTAACAGTTTTTTGTTCATCTGTATTAGTATATTAATATGATAAAGAAATTATTACAGTAAAAGAAATCTTAATAAATGAGAAAGTTATAACTTTATAAGCCTTAAATTTCTCATCACTCGGTGTAGTTAAGGCACTTTTAAAATATTATAGAGTCTGTATGATATTTTGTTGATTATGACATATTTCCGTGAAATGGTCTGGTCTGTAAAATTATGAAAAGACGAAAAAATTAAAATAATAAACTTTGCGGTATCATAAAATATAAATGTTTGTAGCGAAAAAACCCAGACCGTGATTTTTTTTTTTTTTTTTAATTAAAAAATCATCTTAAAATCACAATCGCTCGTCCAAATTTAAATAAGATTTTATATTAATACGTTTTTTAGGTGAGATGAACATTATAGTTTAACAATATGATCTGTTCTGATCGTTTATTGGCAATTATTTATAATTATAAGCTCTTTCTTGATCGGAATTCCAGTATTTTTTGTAAAAATTGATAGAAATATTGTGTTTTGACAACTATATATAGTTAATATACGTCAGAACCGATTAGAACTAGGATCAGTAGTAAATTAAGTAACTTTTTAAAAAGATTTTTACTAAGTTCATGTTAATGCCGATGAGCGGTATTGATCTTAAGACTCCAAAATAGTGTTCTTTAGATACATTATTACGGGTTGTAAAAAGATTTTAAAAATTATATAGAAAAAAGAAATGTTTCTTTAAATATTGTAAAAACCTTAGGCAAAAAAAAAATTATAACATTTAAAGATCTTGTTTGGGCATAATATGCTGACAAAACCATGCAAATTCCAAATAAAAGTATTCAAATATTTTGTAAACCGCCTTAACTACACCGAGTACTATATGCTGTTGAACTAATACAAGAAATGTTACTTAAATTGGAGATTTAAGTGGGAGGCTTTAAAATGATCCCGCAAGGAAGGCTTTAAAATGATCCCACAAGCACGAAAATCAAAAAAACTAGGTGGAGATGTACTTTTTATTGAGAAGACTTGCAGTATATTATTAGGTCTGACATGAGTAACTCTAATGACAATAACTCTAATGACAATAACAATAGAGACTAAAACCAGTAATACCAAAAAATTTTGGGTTATCGCCAGCCATCTGGCATTATAGAAAATTTCAATACATTTTTATTTAATAATGTTTTGAGAAAAAAATTTATAGAAAAAAAAACTTTACTATTTAATTGAAGACATAAATCTAAATTGTTTTGAATATCAAACTAATAACAACATAAAAACGTTTTAGAACGGCGCAATTCCATTAATAAACAGACCAACAAGAGTAACAGAAACATCAGCTTCCGTAATAGATAACATAATAACAACCGATATCTTTAACAATGCGCTTAAAATAGGTATAATGAAAAATGACGTTTCTGATCATTTCCCTATTTTCTTTTTTCTAAATCTTGTTACCGAAATAATACAACAACAAAAACAAATTTTCATCAAACGCTTTTTCAATGAATCAAATATCGAATTATTTAACGATCAACTATTCCTACTTATATGGAAAAATATCGACTCATTAGAAGCAAACGTAGTCTATAACACATTCTACGAAACATTTTATGATATCTATGCAAATTTCCCGAAAATCAAAATAGTTAAATTAAATAAAAGCCTTAAATCACCATGGATCAATAAAGACCTCAGAAAGTCCTCTAAAATAAGGCAAAAACTTTATATAAAATATTTAAAAACCAAAACAATTGAAAACAAAACCATATACAAAAATTATACTAAACAATTTAAAAATAATTAAAAAAATGCAAAAAAAAAAAAATACTGTTTCAATTTGCTAGAGAAACATAAACTCAATTCAAAACGCACTTTGCAAATTATAAGTGAAATAAATAGCAAACAAAAAATTGCGTTCTTTACGTAAAGCTATTAGAATTAATGATAAAATTATAGATGATCCTAAAGAAATAGTAAATGAACTAAATGTATTCTTTGTTTCTGTTGGACCTAATCTTTCAAAAAACATTTTAAATATGATAAATATAATCAATAATTATGAATTTCCTCTAACCTCTTGTCTAAGTGCCTTTGAACTATCATTTTCAGAATTTGAAAATGCTTTCAAAATGCTTAAGCCCATTAAAGCAATTAGCCCAGATGATTTAAATGAAATCATTGTTATTAAGCCATACAAAAATATAAAGAATACTCTATTTAAAGTTCTTATTTGTTCAATAAATCAAGGATTTTTTCCGGCCTAAATGAAGTTTGCAAAAGTGACCCCTATGTATAAATGTGGTGAACTAACAAATGTTGGTAGTTATCGTCCAATTTCAGTTTTGTCAGTTTTTTCCAAATACTTGAAAGAATTTTATTTGATTGAATTTATGAAAATAATATACTTTACAACAATCAGTACGCTTTCAAAAAAAAAAAAAATAACTCTACAGAACACGCAGTACTTCAACTCACAAGAATTATTACTGACTCCTTCGAAAAATCACAATTTACTTTAGATATTTTTATAGACCTATCTAAAGCCTTTGATACTATTGATCACGGCATTTTCATAAATAAATTAGAAAATTACGTTATCACTGGTAAAGCCTTAACGTTATTAAAAAGTTACTTAAATGATAGTAAACAATTCATGCATATTGATGCACACTCAACAACTACTGCTTTAGATATATCCTGTGGAGTCCCCCAGGGTTCCATACTTGGACCACTGTTATTTCTAATTTTAAAAAAAGTGGATTCTTTTTCATTCAGCTTATAAAAAGCATATACTACCAAGCTAAATACCACCACTTTTTATTGATAAAACTAATATAAAAAGAGTTTAGCCTTTAATTTTGAAACTACTTTATTTACAGTTAGTTTAAAATCTTCAATTTCAATGTCCATATTTTCTTTCAATAAAATAGTATCCACTGTTTATCTTCTCTATTTATTCTATGGTTAGTCTTTCTTGCAGGATGCTAGAAAGACTAACTATTTATAATTTGCTTCAGAAATAACTTTTACTTACTTACTTATGACTGAAATATAATCGTAAAAACTATTTATTTACTGAACATTTAACAAGTGTTATTATTTTTATTATTATTTATTCTGTAAAATATATAATAATTGGTAAATTTTAAGGAAACAATTAAGTTTATAACTAAAATCATTGATATAAAAATAGTTAGTATGTCTAGCTTCCTGTATAACCCTAAAATGCATTTAATTTTAATTTTAATTTTTTCAACAACGAGTGAAAATTTCAAAAGCAATATAAAATCGTACAATTTTGTGCAGCTGTATTTTTCTATATTGTGTTTTATCAATGTAAAGAGCAAAACAAAGTTCAAAACACTGTTGGATCATGAGGGTTTTTTTTATAGGTAACTTTAAAAGCAATATTTGTTTTAAAAATTTTGAGTTTTTCTTTGTTTTTACTTATGGTTATAAATATACAAATAAAGATATTTTTTTAATGCTTTCAAAAAGTTTTTCTTTTATTGGATTCCCAATATATCAATAGTTTGAGGATTTTTTTTTTTTGTATGAACATCATTTTGCAACGTAAATTAAAATGCCGCAAAATTCACTTAATTTTACTATTCTATCATTATGCTCACTGAAAGCTTTACATAATATATATCTGATAATATATGTCTGAGAGTATAAAAAAAAAAATTTTTTAGAAAGGTAATTTAAAATTAAAAATTGGGAGTTTTTGCCACTTTTAACTGTCTCAGGCATAGTACAACGCTAATGCATGTATATCCTCAGAAAAGCTAAGTAAAAACCAAACTCAAAAGCCAAACACAAAAGCCAAACACAAGAGCCAACCACAAAAGCCAAACGCAAAATCCAAATTAACAAAACACAAAAGCCAAATAAACAAAGTAAAGTAATTAAAAGTTTACATTTTAAAAAAATTTTTAAAAATTATTTCTGATCAAAGTTGTCAAAAACTGCACTTATCTAGTTACGCAGTTAAATATACTTATCTCGTTAATACACTATCTAGTTATCTAGTAAATACATCTAGTTATGCAGTTAAACGCCGTTATCAACATATAAATTTAGTTATTATTTTTATTTAACAACTTGTAAAGAATAGATAATAAAACATTATGTTTAACAATAAAAAAATTTGTAGTATTT